GTAGATCCGGACTAGTCAATTTAGAGACAATAAGCATCAAAAATGACTTTTTGATAGAATATTATTTAGAATGAATAATCTTAACTAAGTTGTAGTGGTCGTGACAAGGATTCCGGATATATAAAGAATGCCGAAATCCGAGTTATAACGAAGAAGTTATGACCTGTCGAAGTTTCGCGACAGAACCGGCACGACACAACGCGACGTAAATAGTGAATTTACGATAGAACGATATTTGGCCTTAGCGATCTAAACGAAAGTCGTAGAATATGTTAAACCGAGAGCATGCCTAAAAAGAACGTCTAAATCTGACTTCGTATGAGAAAGTTATGATTTTTCGAAGTTTCGACTTAGCGGTATGCAGCCCAAAGTTCGAATATGAGATCGAGTGGTTTCTAGCCGAAACAATCTAAATGAGAATCGAAGATCTCGTCGATAGTATTCCAACGGTAAAAAGACAGACGAAAACGGACGTCAGATGAAGGAGTTATGAATTCCTAACGGAGTTTTCCTGTCCCGGCCTACTAAAAATAATATAATAAAAAGTTAAAGTCAAAATTAGCCATCGGAGTCTAAACGAGAGTTGTAGAGCATAATCTCACCTACGTGTGGATATAAAGAACGTTGAAAACGAAGCTCGTATGCGAAAGATATGAATTTCTGAAGTTCGGGGCGCGAACCCCTACACTGTGTCAGAGTTCACGACGTGAATACAGTGTTCACGACGTGAACTCAGTATTAATGACTTTTGGAGCCTGACAGACGCAAGTTGCGATGACGCACCTGATGACTACTGAACTCACGACGTGAATTTTGAGATTCACGACGTGAATCCAGCAAAATGGCCCTATAAATAGAAACCGAAGGGCAGCCGGCCCCATAGCTACTAATTCCTTCACTCTCTCACTCCCGATACACTCTCTAGCCCTCTTGAAGTACCCCCGAAGCCCCGGTATCATCCCGACACCCGAAGCAAGTCCCGATGCTCCGAAGATCCCGAGAAGAAAAGAGTTTCAAACCGAAGCTTTGCCCGCGAGAAGGCCGGTGTGTGAAGATATCCCAGATTTATCGAAGAATTACTACTTGAAGAGCCGTAGTGCTGTCCGACAATCGTCTTAACAAGTGAGTGTGTAGTTACTTTCTTCTACCGCATAGATATGAAGTATCTGCTATGAAATATGTGCTATGTGTTTATACGTTGTTTGTTTACTTGAGATGGTTGTTGAATGAATGTTTTATACAGGTTTTTAAATGATTTAATCTATATATGTAATTTATATCTACAAATATTTTGGGTAGAACATAGGTAGATGAAATAGTTGGTGTGTGATGAAAGATGAGTTTGAGGATGAGACGAAAGATGATATAGATCATGAGATGAGGGTGACAGGTGAAAAATGAGTGAAACCTTTACCCAAACGATGACCCCCGTCATTCAGCAGAGTAGGGATGACAACCACAGACTATTCTAGACAGTCCTGTGGAACCAATACTGTCAATAAACGAGATAAACCCCGGCGACTATGGAGTTAGCGCTTGGTAACTACGGATATAATGTTTGTTGAGAAAACCCTGGCAACGATAGATTTCGTGCCGATTCCTTAGGATAATCCTTAGGAATAAATGAACGAGGAATAGTTGATTCTTAGGGTAATCTTTAAGAAATAAAAAGGAGATAATGGGGTGGGTAATTGGGTTGATTGTGTGATGATTAAATATAATATAATATTTTATTGTGTGTTGAAAACCCTATATGCTCACCAGGCTCCCAAGCCTGACCCACTCAGTTTCCTTTGAATTACAGGTAGTGACACAAGAGCAGACCAGTAGTTATAAATAACTGTTGTAAGGTCTATTTTGTTCTGTTTATGCTTTTGGTCTGTATCGGAACATGACATCCCGAGATTTTGTTATTTAATGAAAATACACTTCTTCAAGAAAAGTTTTGATAGATTCTTATCATATTTTGTTTTGGGAACAAATTCCGCAACTCTTTTAATCAAAGGATTACTCTGATTTTATAAAACAAAGCATAAACAAATCGGTCTTTTCTGGCCGTGAAAAAAGGGGATGTCACAGCTAGTTAGCTTTGTGTTCAAGTATAAACGTCCATTGTATTGTATTTTTGTAGTCAATCTAATCAGCAACCAAAATAGGGTTGGGAAAATAATCATGTTGAAGAATATATATATGTGCCTTTTCTTCATCAGACATGTCCCAGCTGTGATCATAAATATGTGCCTTTTCTTTATCAAATGGTTATTACAATAAAGCAGTTTTATTCGGCTGAAAATTAAAATTAGATTTAACTTTTGATTGCAAGATGGTGTGATATAATCTTCCCTATGTATACGTCGACCACTAAGTGGATGTCATGGGTGGATGATCAAAGGTTGGTGATATCAAAACGTCTATGATTGGAAGTGGTTGTGTTAGCTACTTGTTAGATGCTATGGAGGTATAGGAATCCGGTGGTGTTTGACGAGAGTAAAATTAGGAAAAACTTGTTATTTGATAGTATTGTGTTAAGTTCGTTTTCTTGGCTTAAAAACCGAGCTTTCAATTCCGATGTAATGTGGAATGCTTGGCTTAATTCCCCTTTGTAATTTTCGGAACATCTTTTTTATATTCTAGCAATTCGCTAGAATATGTGAATATATGAAAATGTAGTCGTTCAAAAATAATGTATAGGCACGTTTTAAACATGTTTCATACAACATCATAAACATGTTTTAAGAGTCGGATTACAAAGATAAGTGAAAATGAGAAGGTTAGTGAGGTCTAAAATTGCAAATTTTGGTCTTTATCTACCTTTTCGTTTCCACTTATCTTTGTAATATGACTATTAAAACATGTTTATTATGTTATATGAAATATAAGACTGACAAATATGTACCACAGAAAACAAACAAACATATTACCAACGGAACAAAAAGTGTTGGTAACCAATATGTTTAATAGCCGACATGTTGTCCGCCGACCATCAGAGTTAAATTGATGGGTAATCTGTGTAAGTTGATCAACATCATCACTTCCCTTGTCCAATTCAACCTCGTGCACTTCTTTGATCGTCAATATAACATTTTGCCAATTTTACTACCACCTCATTTTGGGTTAAAACATGTTCCTATTCATTGACTTTCTCTTTTTTCCGTTCTCTTTTTCATCGATGATAAACATATCCGGAACCCTACTTGCAAAAATTCCTTCACATCACCATGTTGTTTGTATTGTGCTTTATTAATTTAACTATTCCCTTTTTACTTCAATGATTAATCTGGAATTAACTAAAGTAGGGTGTTGTTGGCGTGGAGTGTAAATAAAGAATCCACTTATGGTTGCAAATAAAACCCTTAAAACATGTTTGTGATGTTGTATGAAACATGTTTAGAACGTCCCTTTCTTCGTTTAGAAACTTCATAGAATGAAGAAAAGCTAAAATTAATTTTAAACCAAACATAAAGATGCTTTATTGTAATAACTATTCAATAACCTTAGCTTGTTTTTAATAGTTTTATGTAAACATTGTGTAACTTATAAGTTTATTATACTTAAATGATTTTATTCATATAAATGCGAAAAACGATAGTTTGTTACATTCAATTGTTAAATAAACTATGCTGTATAAATTGATAATAATTTTATAATGACTTACAGTATTAAAATGTTAGTATAAATATGGCTAACTTAATAGATTAAGGTCTAAAATTGTTACTTAAAATAAAGACTAAAATTGAAAAAAAAGGAATCATTTTTAAACCAAAATCAACAAGAAATACTAATCATTTGGACTAAATTTGTAGTTTAATAATTATATCCGTGCATTGCAACAGAAACCTTATAAAAAGAATTGGGAATAATTTGTAAGAAATGTTTGGACGAATTCATAAAAAAAATACTTTATCAAAAAGCTAAAAAAATAATGAAAAATAAAAAAGTTGGAGAAAGTTTTAAAAAAAATATTAAAAAAGATAAAATTGCAAAAATGGTCCATGTAGTTTGTAAAATTATGTGGTTTTGGTTCAAAAATGTTTGGTGGTGTATAGTAGTCAAATTTTAGATATTTTTAGTGATTTAGGTCCCTATACACTTGAAATTAGACAAAACTGCAAAATGGTTCCTATGGTATGTCGAAAATTGCCACTTTGATCTAAAAAGGTTTGGACTAGCACCAGTGGTCCAAAAGTTTGATTTTTTTGCGAGTTTGGTTCAATTTGCTTTGAACTTTTTTATAATGACGATTTTGCCCTTATAATTTTCATTTTCTATTTTTTTGTCAGTTTGGTCCACTTTGCTTTGAACTTAAACTATATCCCTACATTCCTTCAATCTTCAATCTCTCCCACTACTATTCACTAAAACCACCGGTTCCACTGCCGGAAACCGGCGCCGCCTCTGTCAGCCGACGTCACCACTGTCGTCACCGTCGGCCACCACTGCCTTCAACCCTCATCGTCTTCGTCACTACCAACCTCCGACAGATCTAAAAGTCGCAATCACCTACAACAAATCTTAATCGATTCCCACTACAGGAGACCATCTTGTCACCTTCTTGGTTCGTCTTCTCCACCGGAAACCATCTCCATAACCCCTATTTTCGACAAAACCATCACCAACTTTTGAAACCCTAGCGCCGCCATCTTATCTCATATGGATTAAGGTTTTCAGTGAAGAAGAAGGACGACGACGATTTGAAACCCTAATTCATCGATCTGAAAACCCTAACTAGTCGTCAGATCTGAGAGAGACGAGACTCACCATAAAAGGAGCGAGAGACGGAGGCGACATTTGTGGCTCAAGTTTCTAGACAAAGCTGTCGTCGAGTTGTGAAGACGACGACGTTTACAGATCTGGAACGTCATCGATGAGGGTTTCCAGACGAAGCCACCTCTGAGATATTTGAAACTCATCCTTACAAACCCCGAATCGACAGATCTGGTGGCGACGATTCAGATCCTCCTCCTTCCAGATTTGGATGTCGGTTTATGGGATACAACAATATGAAGCAAACCTATCGCCTCTCGCCGTCCTTCGTCTTCTCCTCCGACTCGATTGTTACTCAACAAAACCTAACTCAAAGCAAACCCTCCTTTGTAGATCTGTTTCCATCTCCGAAGAAGAAACAAAGAGCATGTTAGTGAGGGTTCAGATCAAAAGTGTTCGAGAGAGAGAGAGAGAGAGAGAGAGAGAGAGAGAGAGAGAGAGTGTAGATGGGTGATTTTTTTTATTCAAAATAATAAGAAATTAAAAAACATTTATATTAGGGGCATATTGATCATTTCAGGTTCGGTACGGACAAAAATCACATAAAAATATCAACCATAGGGACCAAAACCATACAAAATATACGAAATTGGACCATCAATGCATCATCAAACTTTTTTGGATTAAAACCACATAATTTAATAACTACAGAGATCATTTTTACAATTTTGTCTTAAAATATAGACCAAAATCTTAAAAATTGTTTAAAAATACGCTAAAATTGTAAATAAAAAATGTAAATCAATTTTGTAAAAACGATCAAGGTTGGGCTAAAACATAAAATAAGGGAAAATGGAAGTGGTGTATGCTAATTGAGAAGGATTTGAACCAACGTTGACCGTAGAATTAGAAGTAAACATAGAAAGCACAAACCAATGAGCTATTAATTAGTTGTTTTTAACATTTGACACAAAATAATTATAAAGAGAAAATATATCGTATTAAAAAAAATACAAAAAACACTATTATCATGTTGTAAATTGTAAACAGTATATACTTAATACTTATTCTTCAACGGGGCTGACTAGATTGGGCCATTTAATTAAAGGGTCCTTTGAAGGTTCAGAGTTGAGACATATGGGTGTTCTAAAAAGCATGTTGGGACTTGATCAACTTGTTGTTTCGTTTCTTTTGATCCTTACAGGTTGCCAGAGTTCTCAGGGGCATTTCAACAAACATGTTGCGCTCTTCATTTTCGGTGATTCATTTTTCGATTCCGGAAACAACAACTACATAAAAACTACTCCGGACTTTCAAGCCAATTTTTGGCCCTATGGCGAATCATACTTCAATCACCCAACTGGAAGATTCTCCAATGGCCGTCTCCTCCCTGATTTCATCGGTAACAATTAAAGCAACTACCAATTTTACTCCTCTTTTTCAAATTTCTTTCTTATTCCAAACTTAATTCCCTTCTGTTAACAGCTGAGTTTGCTGGATTGCCTTTCATCCCTGCATATCTCGACCCCCATTACCATAATAGTGGATTTCTGTATGGAGCAAACTTTGCATCAGGGGGATCTGGTGCATTAGTTGAAACCGATGCGGGACTCGTATGTATCCCTTCTTCGTATCCACTGCTTGAATTTTCTCATATATTGACTTCATATGTATAAATTAATGGATGTAGGTAGTTGACCTCAAAACACAGCTACAATATTTCTCCGATTTAGAGAAACAATATAGGCAGAATTTAGGTGATGCGAAAGCCAATCAGCTGTTGTCCGATGCTGTCTACTTGTTTAGCTGCGGATGCAACGATTATTCAGTCCTCTTGAGCAACAATGAGAGTAGTCGGCTTTATGAGCGGTACGTTGAAATGGTGATCGGAAACCTGACTGATGTCTTTAAGGTAACAAATATCAGGAGTATCCACAACACGTGAGAGGTGTTTGAATGGAGTTTTTGAGTGACTCTTTTCTCACTCCCCTCTATCTATACTTCCTACCTATATAATTATATTTTATTTATTTATGTATCGTAGATATATGATGTGAGATGTTAGATCTGATTATATGGAAGCAATTAGACATAAAGCTTACAAAAAACTTAGGACCCGTTTTTTTTATTTTTTATTTTTACATCTAGAGTAGATGAAGTTTTTCAATTTGATTATTTATGAGTCCACAATGACCTAATTATTGAAAAAGCTTTTACGAAAAGTTTGTTAATTAACAAACTATTTGAAATTTTTTTTTTTAATTAATTTTCAAGATGTTTTGATTCGAAAAACCTCCCAAAAACTTCTATTATGGATGTTGTTAGGTTTCCAATTAATTACCGTGATATTCAATTTATTTTAGAGAAAATCATCCTTATGGTTTAGTCAAAATTACACGTTTGGTTTCTAACTTTTTTTTGCACTCTGTTCGTCTCCGTGGTGATTTTATTGCGTTTTTCGTCCCTTACATATATAAAGTTAGGGACCAAATGTGCAATTTTGACCAAACCATAGGGATGAGAAACGCAACAAAATGAAATCATAGGAATGGTCCGAATGCAAAAAAAAAAAAAAATTTAGAAACCAAACATGCAATTTTGACAAAACCATAAGAAAAAATTTCAGTAATTTAGTCGTTATTTTATCTTAATTTAAAAAGGAAATCCATGCAAAGGGGGGAAGAAAAATTGGAATCGGTACGGTCCCGGCAATAGGCTGTTGGCCTAACACTCGTGCAGAAAGGCCAGACAATACGTGCAACGAAGAGCTTAACATCATAGCAAATCAACACAATCATGCACTTTTACATAAATTGCAAGATCTAGGGCAACAATTGGAAGGATTCATGTTTGCAAACTATGATATCTCAACTGGCATTACCAAACGGATGAAAAACCCATCAAAATATGGTTGTATACTCATGAGTTTCATTGCTTTCAATTCGTGAACTATCATCATTCATTGTTTGGATTTGAATGGATTTGTAGGTTTTAAGGTTGGAGATCGTGCATGTTGTGGTAGTGGTCCTTTACGAGGGTTTTTTAGTTGTGGAGGAAAGAGAGGAATACGAGAGTTTGAATTATGTGATAATCCTGATGATTATCTCTTCTTCGACTCATTACATCCTAGTGAAGCCGCAGTTCGTCAGTTTGCAGAGTTGTTTTGGAATGGAGATTCCAAATTCACATCTCCCTACAATTTTAAAACCTTGTTTCAAGGTACCTATGTGTTTTTAATTATGGTAGTCAAAAACTAATTATCGCGACGTAGCAATAACAATATTAACAATCTTTCTTAGCTAAACATCGTTACCCAAAAAAAAAAGGAATCATTAATTATGAGTTTTTGGTGTTTTATATATAAATATGTCAAGATAGAACTTTATTTGTAGAGAAAAAAAAATACGAACTTTTTCGGCTAAAAAGTAATGTATTTCACTAAATAACTTTTGTTGGAAGAAAAGTTAAACCAACAAATCAAGAGCTGATAAGTGGTGTCCTTGAAAAATGAAGTTATGATTATACTTGTGTTAATTTTTTATTGAAAGTTTATTGACTAATTAAGTAGTTGGTAATATGTCAGCACCATTTTTAAAAGCTGATTTAACTCAATTGAAAAGTTTATTTTTCTAATGAATATATAGGTGACAAAAGATTACATATATTTGATCATATGAAATTTTAGCTGTAGGACCTCAAAATAGGAGGCATCCAGTCTACAAGCTCAGTTGATGTGAAAGTTGGCAGGATCGAGACTGGCTCAGGTGTGGACGCTGATGGAGCTGTGATTTAAACACATGTAGGTTACGGTGGAGATATTTTGGAACAAAAATATAGATAACCACATTGGCATCCTAGCCCATGAGTTTATAGTTACGAGCTGTTGTGAATAAAAGGAAAGAAAGGAAATTATTATACCAATAAAAGATTGAGTTCACTACAAGAAAAAAGCTTTTCCTTGACAGACATTGTCTGTCATAAATGCCTATACATGACAGACAAATGTCTGTCATTGAAAGCCATGTCATAAAAGAAAATGACAGACATTATGTCTGTCATAAAATGAGTTTTGTACCAAGGGATTATACTTTTGAAAAGTATTTACCAATTAACAGTACTTTGAAAATTAATTACCAAAATATTGTAGTTTTATATTAAATGGCTTTTTATCTCCTACTATATAGGACCCATTTGCAGTTTTGACACCACACCCCATAACAACCCACACTCCTCGCCTCTTTACCTTATACGAACACTCAAATCCAGGGGAAAATTAACCATGTTCTTAAAAATGAAGAATTTTACAATGTATGTACAAAAAGCATGTTTGTATGCCGGCATAATTTATGAAAAAAATAGGCTTAAATATGGATCAAGGTGTTGGTGTTCTTGGCTGAAGAATGATACCATGAACCAACCATGTTCTTAATTATATAAAAATGAAGAATTGTTAATCAGGCTCCTTGATCTAATATTAGCTTCATAATGTCGTACATGTGGATGAACAAAAGTAATGGTTCGATTGCTTGCACCAACAATCACACTTCCATGGACTAACGACTAACAGATTAAGGTTTGTAGTTAGTAGATCATTGTAGTGTCGATTATTTCAAACCTAGAAGAAACAGTAATTTTAGAAAACAAAGACAGACGTTGAATATAAAAACTTGATTATTAAAGAACTTCAAGAAGTAAAAACATCAGTGGACCATTAAAGGTGTCGTTGGTAAAACCAACAAGTTCTTGGTTCATAATGATTTTCCATGCTACAAGAACTTAGCATCAAAATTCCCATAAATTTTGATGTTAAATCAGAGTTCTGAAGTGATTTGAATGTGTCAAAGCTTCACATATGATACGGAACAACTTTCTAGACACAAGGCTTCCACTGAAGTTGAATAGCCAAGAAAATATCAACTGGGTTTAGAGGACATATCGAGAATACAAATAGATTTTGAGAAATCGGTGTGAATCAGTGAAAGAGGCGACCGTAAGTGATAGATCGATGGAGAGGGATATGATGCAGAAAAAGACGACTAGCGGGTATGACCGGTGATAGAGGGAGAAACCGATGAGTAGTTTAATTTTCAGAAACCAAAGAGGTAAAATCTTATGTGTGAGGAAGACGACGTGAAAAGACTGGAGGAAAAAACGCGTGCGGCGAAGAGGATAATAAGGCTTTTTTTTTTTTATCTTTTTTTAATAACCACATTTATTAAGTAAATAAAAATTAAAATACCATTAGTTGGTAAATATTTATTGGAGATACAGCCTTTTGGTAAAATACTCGTCATAAAATTTACGACAAACTTTTATGACCAACAATTACAACATACATACACGACATGCGTTTTCGACATACATTTACGACTGACTTTGTTTGTCATAATTCGTAACATTTTTGTATTTATGACATACATTTACGACTTCAAATTACGACATCTTTTGTACAATATGATTTTTGACATATTTTTACGACATGCTTTGTATGTCATGGTTATATATATATATATATATATATATATATATATATATATATATATATATATATATATATATTCTAAATTTCTACCAAATCTTGAATCAAACTAAATTACATATTTAATGTCTAATACAACAAAATAAAATATCATACATATATAAAAAGGCTTACACGAGCTATAGTGTCAAATCCAAAAATATGGTCCAAATTCATCAAAAAGTAATTGTCAAATTCATATCACTGGTAAATAAAATTTATGACATAAGTAGCCCATTCTTCACGCACCCTATCAAGCTCGACGTCTGTATATTCATTCTTCCACCAAAACTGAGACAAAAACTAATATATTAGCAAAAAACTATTAAATAATTATATATGTAAATATTCTACAACAATTCAAGTCCATCATGTAACTAATAGATTTACTTACATTGTTATTCAACACTTCAAGTCCATCAACAACCGCTTTCATGAACTTAAGAACATAAGATCCGCTTTCTGTACAATTGTATAATAAATTGATCGGTAAAATGCCAATACCTTTTCCCATATATCAATACTTGTCTGCCAATATCTTCTGAAGCAACCATCTGCATGTGAATGTCAAGATCAATCATAAATCACATTAAATATATTATTAAAAACTAATCGGTTGACTAGTCAAAACTAAATTACATACTCTTGATTCAAGGTTCATCTGAATGGCAGACTTGGTTGACTGCTTCGCACGCTCCAACTATATCTGGTTGACTGAAAGATTACATGTTAGTAACTTTGACTAAATGCAAGAAATAGCAACAAACTTTCTCTTATTTGTTTACTATAGCATCCTACTTTCATTTCCTTCTATTACAACTTTTGAAAAATATTTCCAATTAAAACAATGAAAATATGATTTTTTTTTGTTTGTTTGTTTTCAATGCTATAGTAGTAGGAAGAAATAAAAATATGATATAATAAACAAATCACTGAAAGTAGGTTGCTATTTCTTAAAAAGTAATTCAACTGTGGCATATTATAGCTTGCCTTCTCCGTTGGTGGCAACTGCAATGAGTTCTTTCACGGCTATATTAACAGCTTTGGATACAAAATCAGAACTCTGCATGCATTTTTTTGTTAAAAAAGGATTAAATAATCACTTAAATAAAATAACTGAAAGTTTATTGATGTCTTCTTACAGTGATAGCTTGAATTCCAAATAAGGCAGTGTGATTATAGATAGAGTTGAATGTTGAAAACGATTGAATCTCAGGATACTCATTCAAAACTCTAAGATCTGCTCACGATAATAATCCAAAAAAATAAATTAAAAATTAAAATTAGTATGTGAATTATGATAACTAATTTTAAATTTAATAAAAATAATATGAAGAAGCGACTCACAGAGACGAGAGTACATCCCTTTTCCATTACCACCAGCTGAAAAAGATCCACCTCCTCCCATTAGCATCTGTGAGTAGATAAAATCAGAAAATATTAATTCCCAATACTTAATGGTAGATAAATAAAAGGAATAAGAAGATTGGTTAATAAATATATTTAAAAAAAAAAAGGATACCTGAAGAACTGACAAGGTCATGGCTTCCTTCTCCTGAAGCCAGCCACCAGGAAGTTCAAATGCAAGAGCAAAACTAGTTCTCTGATGACAATTAACAAAAGGGTAATTTAGTCAATAATACATCAGGATGACAAAGGGTAATTTAGTCAATAAAAAGGATACACAATTTAATTTAAAAGACACACCCACCCCTGTATCAGCCATAACACGGTGATCACCACCAACATATACTGATTTCGGCTCCTGAACCTGAGCGCCACCTGGCAAATCAGAGAGAAGAGGCTCTGCATATTTCAACAGTTCCTCATGTTCAACTCCTGATGCAGCAAGTACCATTCGAGGAGCAGTATAGTTTGCCTAAAAATTTTCAAGCAACATTTTTTTCAGGAACAGAATCCACATGGAATAAATAAAAAGAATGAGAGTAATAGTAATACCAGATACTCTAGTTCCTAAATGCATAAAATAACAAAAATTATAAGGTGTGTGACTCACAGCTACAAAATCCTCCAAAATTGTACTGTTTATTCTATTGATTAAGCCTTCTGAAGCAAGAAGAGGATTCCCAAGTCCACCAGCATATCTAGCTGAATGAATAGCTTCCAACAACGCCTCAGGATTGTTGCCATATTCACCAATCTCAGCTTTCACTTTCTCAATCTGCAAACAAACATAAAAAAGGTAATGTAATGTTTTTAATTATCAAATATGCAAAAGCCAACTTTCAAAAAGATATATGACAAGAAATAAAGTGAATAGGAAACAACTAAACAAGCACCTGTGCTTTGACCTCCCAATCCAAGAAAGCTTGATTTCTTACAGAGTCAACAAATAGCTCCACCATTTGAGGAACATAACTCCTCAAAGCATCATAAGAGTATAGATTATAGATTCAGATGAAATCCAGCAAAAGCAACTAATTGGAGTTTTGCTTCAGCTATAGAGTATAGATTCAGATGTAGATAATAAGATAATGATATAATAAAACCTTTTCCTAAAAAAATTAACCTGGAATCACTGTTAAGTTCTTGGCAATCCTTTTCACATACAGTTCCAAGTAAAACTATGTATGTGACACAATGTCAAGCAACAACTTTATATTTGCATACCTGTGGCATGAAACTGAGTCCAAGACTCGTTGAGATATTCTAGAAGATGACCAACTATCGAACTACTTGGCCCGCTTGAAGAAGAATTCTGCACAGAACCACTCCTACATCAGAATGAACAACAAAATAATAAAAATTGCACAATTGACCTTCAACTGTTCAACTTGAAAGAAAAAAACGTGAATTTGTACGTTTTGGAGTTTCTAAACTATATTAAGTCAGTTAAAAACCACAGTGGTCTTGAAATTAAAAAGCAACTCATTTCGAATCGAAGGTCAAAGTACAGGTCTTTCAGGGATAGACATATCCATCATCATATAGAAATGTAAATGTAAGGTTATGATTCTAGAGAGCAGACCTCAGGAGTCGGGCTCGAATTGGCGCAGAGTGATGGAGTGAGATGAAGCTTGCGTATATGAGTGTTGTTTCGAAAGAAACTAGGGTTACAATAAAACGGTGGCAAAGAAGATTGATGAGGGAATTTCGACGAGATTACAGTAGGTTTTAGAACTGAAGACGACTGTTGGAGGATATGGAATCGAGCGATGACTGCCATTGATGAACGATTCCATGAAGTCTCCGAGTTCCTCGAGGAATTTACATGGCTGCCATTGATGAACAATTATATGAGATTTTGAGCACCTATCATGTTCCATTATCCTTTGTCGTAAATGTATGAACAAAATAGCACATAAAGCCATCTGACGGAGCCATCTGATGGAGGCGGCAACGACGCCATCGTCCGGCTCTGCTGACTAACGGAACGATTTACATTAATCCGCTCTTTCACTTCTTTCTTGAACTAACGGAGCATCACTTCGTCTGTTGATTCTGCATCTGAGTTGAACAAAGCTTTATAAGAAGGTTTCGAGATGAGATTCGTATAGCTGCGTGAAAGATCAGCGAAAACCCTAACGATCTTAGAGTTCTCGAGCTTGATCTTTCTAGCATAGGCAGCAGAAGCGGATTAAGAATTGTTGATTGGTAGCTGTTGTTGATCGTTGACGGAGGTAGAGGTGTTCGATTGAGGGAGGATCGATGAAAGTGGTGGGCGTTGGTGGTGAAGGCGGAGGGAGTGGTCGATGGAGTTAGGGTGGAGGTAGATGGAGTCGGTGAAGATTCGGAAGAAGGGAACGTCCGATAGAAAGAAGGGTTATTTTCGTAAAAGACCTAAAACTTTCATAGTTTTTCTATTTAAGCCAAAAATTTATTTTTTTGCCAATTTAAACCCAATATTTTCCCTAAATTTTCTATTTTCCAAGTCACCTTGAGGTAATATGGATTTTTTTTTTCAATAAAGACTATATTTCCCCAACTTTTCCCCCAAAACCAAAATGATTCAAAATCATTTTTCTTGGCATGGTATCGTTATATGACTTTATATACACCAATAATAATTTATAGGATGTTTGATATGTTGAAATTTTGGTGTTAAAATGATGTAATAAGTTGGAGATTAACCATTCTTTATACCAAAAGTACATTATTTTGATACAAAATTGATATAACAACATACACTCATTTTTTCCGATTTAACATATAGTATACCAACAAATATCACAGTAACAATAAGCAACTTCACGTGTACTACTAGTTCTAGCTCAAGTTTCTCCTAGTAATTTCATCATTGCTAACATAATCTACCGATTAGAAAATATAGTATTTGTGGCAAACAAAAATAATGCTAACCTACCGATTAGAAAGGTCATTCTTCAGGTATTTTTAGAGTTTTCACCAAAATATAATTTTTTTTTTTACCAAACGCTCTTCTTTTTGTTTTTTTTTTCTCACACCAAAGTGGAGTTTTTTCAAATTGGTTCGACTGTTGAGTTTTTTTTCCACCGGTTTTGTAATTAATTTTTTGCACTAATCTAGTGGTTTATTGGTTTTAATATTTAACTCACATCCTTTAAACTTGCTTTAACTTTTTTTCATACTACATAGTGCTCATGTACTTGTCGACATAGCATTATTGTATTATTGTTTGCGATTACTAACTTTTCCTTATAGTATTAACCGATAAAAATCATTTTAATTTACTCTTTAAAATACGACATAACATTACGACATACATTTTTGTCTGTCGTAAATCATTGATATTTTACGGTATATGACATAAATTTTATGACAGACTTTTATCCCTGTCATAAAAGTGCTGTATGTCGTAATTCGTCTATCAAGAAAAGTCTTTTTTCTAGTAGTGGTTCCTTGTAAGATTATTAAAATTCATTTGTATTTTTAGCAAAAGTTCACTTAAAATATGTTGTGAATAAAAGGAAAGAAAGGAAATTATTATACCAATAAAAGATTGAGTTCCTTGTAAGATTATTAAAATTCATTTGTATTTTTAGCAAAAGTTCACTTAAAATATGTATTTTAAATGATATAAGCAGAGGCGGTCTTGGGACGTGCGGGTCATACAGTCGCATAAGACATCCAATTATAAGAGGTTTTCGATTGAAAAATTCTTTTAATATTATATTACTTAAAAAATTAGAATTTAATAAAAATTAAAATATAGTTGGATGTTATTAATCTAATTCATGTTATTAACAATAAAGTTTAAATTTAGGTTTGTTAAATATATTATAATATTGATTTCTCAGATACCAATATATAGACATTTATATCACGACACTAAAGCTCGAAAATATAACTCAAATTTAAAAAAATATATTTGAGCTTTAAGGTCAAGTAAAGTATATTACAAGGGTCGCAGTTTTAATTTTAGGAAAGCAACACATTTATTAAAGAATTCACTTTCAGTGAATATATTATAAAAAAGTGCCACAATGTCATCATAACGAGAATCCGTTCAAGTGGAGCAATATATATTTGAAGATAATACTATAAATTTTAATAATATTCAATCTAGTGAGGAGAAACATAAAGAAGATATAACGCTGAATGTGAATGAAGTTGTAACCACAATCTAATGATGAACATATAGAAGGGCAACTGCAATATGAAACCATAGATATTGATATGACAATGAGTAGTATACGGATACTTATTGAGTTTCTTAAAGACTAACGAGAAAATGGGTTTGAGAAGGCTTTGGATTTTTCTTGAGCAAATAGCTTATGATTTAGGAATTTATCTGGTGTTTGTTGAGAAAAGTAATAAAAGAACTATTGAAAAAAAAAACTTTTTGATGAGAGAAACATTGAGTCATTGAAACTAGTACATGCACGTTCACCTCAAGAATCATTCATGATTGATTATTTTGAATATATAGTTGATCAAGTTATTGGTGTTAGAAATTTGGGTATAGAAAGGCTTGAAAATTCTGAGAATCGTGTATAACATTTTCAGATTAAAGTATTTGGGTGGTACTCCCAATCTTTAATTGGATAAGACTCTGAATTGAGAGCAAGAACAAAAAATATGGTTGTTATGAATTTCGTGATTTTTTTTGTACCAGGAAAAATGATGACCAAAATGATTAAGTAGTTCATTTGTCTGAAAACTGTCAAGACAGTTTTTTTTGTCCAAAAAACTACTCCAACTGTCAAATCCAATAACAATCACTAAAACGAGGTCATTAATAAAGGTCAAGATGAAGTAAAAAACCGGGTTCATTTACAGAAAATTCAGATTTCTAAGGCATTTTTTATATAGCAATATAACTCATATAAAAGGTTTCCGCGACCCTAGCCAGGGGCTCTGCCCCTTGGACCCTGCTCCCAGGGGCGCTGCCCCCGGACCCCCGTTCGTTTAGGGGCTTCGCCTCAAATGACAGTCTACTTTGAATCTTGAATAAACTTAAACAAGTGTGCACTCCGCACCTTCTTTACTTGTTTAATATTCATCAAGATTGAATTTTGGTCACACAAGTCAATCCATTACATTTAAATACATATTGATGATACAAACTCACCAACAATCGGTTCATCAAAGCGACGATTTGAACAATACAAATAATATGAAAACATTTTTGGTTTATTATTTAGAACATAAAAATTATAGTCACTTAGTATTGATGAACTAAAGTGTTGAAAAAAAAATCTTGATATGACGTTATAAAATAGTCATATCTCATAATCATCTAACACATACTAAAATTCTTAAAAATGATAAATATTTATCCAACTTATTGTCTAGTATACATAATATTGCTGATTGTTCCTCCGATTAGAAAAAAACGATTCAAAACTAAAACTTTTGATATATTATTTGCGACCTACTATTTTTCAAGAGAGATTAAACGTTCTTACTTTGATTTCGATTGAAATTTTTTTTTTTTTTTAAATATTGACAATAAGACCTGAAAAGTTTTTTCTTATAAAAAATACTAGATTATCGACGTTTTGCAAATCGTAATGCAATGGCTGTTTATCTTTATTTGGAAAGTTGTTTGTAGCAATTTCAATTTATTTCTAATGAGTTAAGACCCATATATGATGCACAAGTACAAAATTAACAAGATACTTGTTATCAACTTTAAGTTTTAAATTTAGCGATAATGAATTTAATAAAAAATTATCTACAAACTTTTTATGAGACTTCAATTTGATTTTTTTGCACAAAGCATGCCTGGATATAACGTGTTAATAACACTATATAAAATGATTAAAAGATGAAGGACCAAATATTTAGTGTGCCTTTACAAAACCGGTTTATAAAAACACTTTAAAAATTGTATGAATAAGATTTTAATTGCCAAATGAAGTTAGATCATGTAACCTTTCATAAAGATACATGTCATTCATAGTGGTTCCCTTTGGTGGTGCACTGGGAAATGGCTCGTAAAAGAAATACATCTTTTGTTCATGTCTAATAATAACCCTTAGACGTATATGCTAGTCATAAACGTTGATGATTACCTTTAGGGTCGGTAATTAGTTATTATCAAGAAGTATGTTTCACCATATCCATGTCTTTGGTCCATGTTGTAAGACCCAAACTTAAATAAAGCTTGAAAGTAGCAATAAAGCAATGGCAATTTAAAATATTGGTATGGATGTAAGTGTATGCGGGTGAGAATATGGTTAAATGGTATTGGTGAGTGTACGTTGCTTATATGGGTAATGTGTGTGTATGGGTCGTTATTGATGATAAAGGTACAATGTGGTATCCCAACTATTTTGTTTTTCTGAATAATTTATTATGGTATATTATCAATTTAAGGTTCTAAGTAACGTTAAACAATATTAATAATGAGTTAAAGAAGACTTTTAAGAAATACTTAATATTATTAATAAAATGTGAAACATACACTAAATAATAAAGTGATAAGATAGACAATTTGCATTTCAAAATATACTTGCATGGATAATATGACATATCCATGATTTTTATAATTTGATTTTATTATTTATAATTATTGTTCATTAATTTTAAAACCACTTATTATTATTAATAAGTGAAAGAAACTTTTAAAAAACACTTATTATTATAATTAAAATGTTAAACATATACTAAAATATAAAGTGATAAGATAGACAATTTGCATTTTAAAAGAGACTTACATGTATAATATGACATATCCATAATTTTTAGTTAATTATTGCTTTGAAGCAACACGAACATACAAACATGTATACAACAGTTAATTAAATATTATATATATCACCTTCCATAACATATAATCGATAACATGAATCTATTCTAATTTACATTAAAATTTCAACCACAACATACAATGATATCCTTAAAAGAATACTTAAACCAAAAAAATAGAAAACAAAATTAGTATATAACAAACTTACAAATTAAAAACTTCAACATAATAACATGGCTCGAAAAATGGTCCAAAACCCTCAAACCAACACAAAAACCTTTAAATTTGTTTTCTTTGTGAATTTTGTATGTTATTTGTATTTGTGTGTCTACTTAAATAGATTGACATTCTATAGTAGAATTGCTTATTAAACATATTATATAACTTATAAAACATTTGAATTGTTAATCATTATTAAGAGACTTTTGAGTGGTATTCATTAAAATAAGAGGTTTCAAATGAATATGGTTTGAGTAAAAATGACTCTATTATAAGATATATATATATTATGATAATTATGATTATGATATGATATGATGATATGGATTTATAACTTTATGTTCTATTTAATTATTATTATTATTATTATCAATTAATTTACAAAGAATTTAACTAAAAATTAGTTATTATAAAAAATAGTTTTGGGAAATCTTTTT